CCTGGCTGTGTTCCCTCCCATTTTCTTGTGCATTCTCATGCTTTGTTCACTAGAGGGCAGCATGAGAAGCAGGAAAGACCAACATTGATGTGTTATTAATACTGTTTTTGTCACGAATCGTAAGCATAGCACCATATCATCTACTACAAATAAAGCCAACTCTGTCCCACAAAATCAATAGTGTTGCACAACCTACTCTTCACCAAACCTAGTAGATAAGCAGAATACGGTGAACAGGAACAGCAATTCAAATTCTTCAGGAAAGGGGGCTCTAGAAAATACATGCTTGTAAAAGCAACCAACTCTTTGCTAATTAAATTGTGCTGACTGTGGGACTGTTAGTTGCAAATGCTTGGTGACTAATGAGACCTGCAGAAGCCTGAGACATTAACTATTTTTCTTCTATGTATCATTAGCACTGCAATCACTGAGTCACACTCATGCTTTTGATCACTAGTCTGTGTGAACTTCACAGTGCTCTTCTGAGGTGAACTATTGACTGTTTTTGCTTTTTCAGTGCAACTCCAAAATAAGACACTGGTGAAATGCAGAAATAAGAGACCTTCGTGGTTGGTTTTTTAGGACTTATGGTCATGATATGTACAAACACATGCAGATTGGATCATCGTGTATTTTGTAGAAGTCCATTAACTAGAATTAGACTTTTAGTGTGGAAGGTAATGGTACTCACAGAAATGCCAGTGTGAGGTCAGTGAAAACTGACCTTTTGTATTCTTTTGTAACATCTGCAGTTCGTGAGACCATCAGGAGCAGCAGGATTCCTCCAGTGAAAGAAAGACAAATTAAGAGAGATTGATTAAATGGAACATCTACAGAATTCTCTATACATCTCAACTCAATCTCATTAATTTTTTTGAGTTAATGCTCTTTTTTGTAAGTTTGTTTTTTGTTTTTTCAAAATTTATTCCCCAAAATCTGGAAAGCATGTTGGGAAATGCCATTTCAAACAGAAATTAATTCTTACTTTTTAGATGTATTTTTCCTAACCGGTTCTCCCACAGGGGGATTCTGTTATCTTTGTAGAAATGATATACAGTTTGGTTTGCCTGAGGGGACGTACACTGGTATGATTGTGTCCTTGTTTTGGCTGAGATAAGAGTTAAATTTATTCACAGCAGCAGAATGATGCTATGTTTTGGATTCAGAAGAATAGTACTGATAACATACTGATGCTTTGATTGTTGCTAAGCGGTGCTTACTCTAAGTAAGGACTTCTTGGATTCTCACACCTCCCTGTCAGAATGGAGCTGGGAGGAGATAGAACCAGGACAGGTGACCTGAACTGGCCCCAAGGATATTCCTTGTATGACATCATGCTGAATAATAGAACTGGGGAATTGGCTGAGGGGACAGCCACTGCTTGATCTGTCTGGGCATTGGTCCTTGAATACCAAGTAATTGCCTGTGCATCACTTGTTTTCGTGTGTATATGTGTAAAACTATTATTTTTTTCCCTTCCATTTCTGCCTTATTATAAACTGCTTTTGTCGTAATCCAGAAATTCGACTGTTTTCCAGTTCTCCAAGTTACTTTAGGGGCAAGGGGGTAAATGGCTTTATGGTACTTAGCTGCCTGCCAGGTTAAACCACAACAAAAGCAGGTGGAGACATGTGGAGGATCATATTGTGGCAGAATATATTTTTTTCTAAATAATTTCTTTAAAGTTGTGAATTGATATTTTGGAGTGGAAACAATGACTGTATATAATTAGAGTAAAAAATGCACAGGTTAAAAATAGCACATTGTGTATGATCTATGATCTTTTTATTACATGCGTGCTTTTTTCTAATAAGGCTACAATTAAAATAATATATTTTTAAAAAATCAAGGTCTAGACTTTAGTTTTCTTTTATGTCCACTCCTAAAATTGTATTGAGATGTTTGTATTGAGAATTGAGGAATAACTGCTACACTGGAGAACTTCAGCAAAAGGAATTGCTCACAAATATGAAACTGCAAGTAATTTTCTCTCCTTTTATGAGACAAATGGCCTCCCTTACAGATTAAGAAGCTTGTAGATCATGACAGTGAGATATAAGCAGCAGGCTCAATAAATGATCAAAAATCACAGAATTGCAGGGGTTGGAAAGGACCTCTAGTGACCATCAATTCCAACCCCCCTGGCTGAAGCATGTACCGTACAAGAGGTCACACAGGTAGGCATCCAGCTGGGCCTTGAATATCTCCATAGAAGGAAACTCCACCACCTTTTTGGGCAGTAACCAGTGCTCTGTCACCCTTACCATGAAGAAGTTCTTCTGCATGTTAGTATGGAACATCCTGTGTTCAAGCTTTACGCCTTTGCTCCTTGTCCTATTGCTGTGCACCACTGAGAAGAGTGTGGCCGCCTCCACTTGCTTCTCACCAAAAGGGAGGGTTAAGTATTTAGCTGTTAGCTGAGAATAGGACTGATCTCTATCAGCCTATGTGTGATTTTGCTTCTATCAGCATTTTAACTGTTGGGATTTTTTTCCTTAATCACACTAAAATTTCATTGTTGTTGATAAGCAGCATCTTGATTCTCAGTTTCGAGGCTAAGGTATCACAAAATACTTTCTCTTGTGACGTGTGCTAGGATCAAGCTAAAGTTTCTTGCAGCTTAGTTAGCTATACAATAAAATTCTGCAAAGCACTTTACCCACTGTCTTTTTTCCTTTTGTAACTTAGGAAATTTGAAGCACTTTTTTTTTTTTTTAAGTGATGCCTGCTACTGCCTTGTAATGCTTCTGTTGCAACGTTTTGTGTTGTACTTAGTGTCAAGTTATCATGCTTAACAGAAGTCAAAATGAGCCTACTGACAGTTAACGTATCTGTATTGCGTAATGACCAGACAACTATGGAAATACCTGCTTTACTGTTTACTTAAGTTTAGTTCTTACACCAGTATCTTTCTCTGTTCATATATCCTGTATTTTCTCTATTCTTCCCCTAGCCATGGACTTATGAAGAAGATAAGAAACTGAAATCAGGAGTAAGGGAGTTTGGAGTGGGCAATTGGACTAAAATTCTGATCCATGGTGACTTCAACAACCGCACTAGTGTCATGTTGAAGGATCGGTGGAGAACACTGTGCAAGATCAAATAAGGATACTTTGGACACAGCATTGGATTATTCTTGTGCCTTCTCTACATAAGGAGCTAGTCTAGCTGTTCAGAATGATGAATTCATAGTCTCAAGAGTATCCAAAAACATTGTCCTAAAACATGAAAAAGGTGTAAAAAAGTCTGGCCTTCTGTCTGCATGCAAGAGGTAGGTTAATTTATGCAATGTGGAAATGCTTAGGGTGATTACATAGGTAGGAGTCTTAAGTGGCAACATACTGACTTTATAGATGCTCTTAATAAAAGTGCTCTGTGTTTTTGAAGGGTTTTATCAGTGCAAGGTTTTATATGCAGTCAGACAGAACTCTATTATTTTGTTTTCTACTATAGTCTATACTAATCTGTTTTACTTCACTTTGAACTTTTGGTCTGGCTTGTCATCTCTTTCAGCAAGTTATACGAAAAATACGTATCATCATTGCTAATTTAACAAATTACATTTTTAACTTCAGAAAAAAAGGAATGTCCACATACATTTATATTTACAAGTAGTAAAAGGGCTACATGTGTACTGGAGACAAAAATGGGAACTTCTTTTATTTTTGAATCAAGCTTAAGTTCTAGGAAATAACTTTGACATTATTTATGTTGGCACAATAACAGTTCTTATAACAGTTCTTAACATCTCTTGATTGTCTTATGCCACCTACCTTGTCTTGAGAAGTCGCATTATTCTAGACCAGCAGGAAAGGGAAAGCTCCTTTTCTGAGCAGCCCAGACAGGACTCAGCAGCGTTAGCACAGGCCATGAAACATGTTTCATCTGTGCTCTGTTGTCTCTGCACTGTTAGCAAGCACAGACACCCTCTTCTGGTTAGCTACCCACAGTTGATCACTGTAAACATTCTGCTCGTGAGAGGCTCTGAGATGTTTCAGATTGTATGGAAGACAATCCCAGAACCTCAAAAAACACACATGCTTTCCACTATTGTACTGGTGTGAATCTAGATACCAGGTATTGCAGCATTCTTACAGGGCTTCTTGCATTAAGATTAAATAGTGATGTACCATTACAAAGGTATGTCCTATTCTGAATGCATACAGGACCTAAAACAGATCACCTTCCTGATTCCTGCCAACTGCTGCAATGTTTCTTCTTACAGCTGTGGCAAGCAGTTGCTGTAAGGTTCCACAGAGATATGCCATCTCTTAACAGTAAACTTTCTCAGCCTTAATGCATCATTTTTTTTCTGTAAACGTGGTGAATCTCAGAAGCTTGATAAAATACAGTTTACGTATTTCAGCAAAGAATACTAGAGTAGTTGTAAATCAGCAATTCAAAACAAAACTCAAATCACAGCACGTGTGTGTAAAGTGAGAAAGCCTGCAGTATGTAGTTACTTCAATGCCATGACAATAATTCAACATGAATAATAAGTAACAAAACAAGGATTAGAGCTATGTACATAGCAGCCTTGCCTGTGTTCTAATCTTGCACATTTCTATATTAATCATTGCACATCTAGCAGGTTTAACTAGTAGTAAGTGATTTTTCTGACTGTCAGCCAAAACTCTAGTTATGATTGTTCATTCCTGTATGTAAGATTATTGTTGTTGTAGCTTGCTAATTGCTGTAATACAGTCCTACTCAAGGCAGTTTACAATAAATTACTGTTCATTAAGAAAATGAGTCTCCTCAAGACTTTATTTATGGAAGTCTTGTTTAGGTTTGTCTGCCATAAAATTCACACTGTATGCTAGTGATGTGAAGTTCTTAGCAAGGCTACTTCATTAACAACACTGACAAGTCTCACATTTTTATGAGGGTGGCTAAGCAGGGAAGCTGCAATGTAGAGAAAGAAATACTTACGCATTCATACTGTAAACCACTGTCCAGATGATACTGGGAAGGAACAAAGGATCTAAACTGAAGTCTGGTTTTAGCTCTCAAACTTTCATTTTTATTCACCCATTACAACTTAATGATGACAGTAACTATTTCCAGACTTGAGAATGTTTGGCTGGCTCACTACTGAATAGGATCAATGCCTGTACACAGGAGCATAGCCTGTAAAGATCAAAAACCTTAGGAAAAGAAGCTACTACAGTTAGAAATGTTTCCTCTTTAATCACAAGAGAAATGCGAAATTTGCTTACAGCACTCTAATACAATTGTCAGTCTTAGTGTTTACTATTAAGACAAAAAGAATACCCAAAAATGCTTGTTCCAGAGGCTTAACCGCTTTAGAGTTCATTCAGTCTCCACAAAATACAGACAAAGATGTAGGTTTCTTGGCACTTGTGCTAATTTTCTCAATTCTTTTTTCCTGATGCTGTTTAAAGGTCTTTTTAACTCTTACGTAAAAATAAAACTGTGCACAAGGGGACACGAGCACTGCTCCAGTTGCCGAATCTTCTTCCAGGTTCCTTGGCACCGAGAGTTGCCAACTGCTTCCCAGTGTAAGATTTTACCTCTGAAATGTGACAGTAAACGAGGAATAAAAAATTGGTGCATTTACAAGCAACCAAAAAAAGTATACTTGTGTATCATTAACAGAAGACTAGAATTAAGATTTTAATTAGTTCATCTTGGTATTAAAATGCTTTTGTTGTCATGATACCTGCATGATTCCAGAGCAGGCACTGTATTTCTTAGTATACAGGATGATTGGTTGAGTAAATGGTTATGTATGTATTGCATAGCATCTTAATAAATGTACAGTTATATAGACATATGTACAAAAGATATACACTAAATAAAAAATATTGCAAATTGTAAACGTCTTATTTCAATATCAGCATTCTAGAAACTATATTTAGTTTAAAGCTGAAATCTGATTTGGATTATGGTGGGAAGTACATTTTTCTAAGTAAAAGATTTCATACTTTTAAGAAGATCTGCACTACAGAAGTTGTGTTGTCCCTTTACAACAGTAAATAAAGCACTGAGACTTAATTCATGTATTGAAATTATTCACTGATTTCATCTGTGTTTGAAATGCATTAGTTCAAAGCCCTTTCTATGTGAACTGGAAGGGTGTCTCTGAGCTCTGCGTGTGATACAAGCTGTTTCTTTTTTTAAGGCGTAATCAACACAGCTTTTAAAGAGGCCTTGAAAGGTCTAAAATTCTGTACTAGGTTCCAATACAGAGGAGACAGCAAAGGAAGGTTTTCTTTACCCATCTGCATTATGGCCATCTCCGGAACAGCGGTGTGTGTCAGTGTTCATAGCTGGAGGCTGGCAAGCTACACAAACAGTATGTCCTTCTCGGAGGTACTGCATCCATCGAGCATACGGCCGAGTCTCCAAAGCACAGTAATGGGAAAGTGATTCTGTTTTAAATTCTACACAGTATCTGCTCAGAAGGGAGAGAGTTACATTAGCTACAATAGATAAAGCATGAAAATTGAAATGTACTTACATATATTTCATTCAGGTGGAATTTATGAAGTGCAAGTTTGATGGCTGACAGCTAAAAAGTTTGTTTCTGACCCTCACCTAATTAATGGATTCTTAAAAACATTAAGCAAATTGTTTCTCACATTCCATTCCCCTGTCCAGTACTTTATGTATTATCTCACTTTCTGGTTGTGTTCCATATTCTTAAATTACGTTGGAGAATGTATCTCAATAACCTGTATTTTTTTTTTTCATGACTGCTAGAAGAATAAATGGAAAAGAGGCTTCAAGAGTGCATATAAGCTTTATTGTTCTGGGCAAAGCATTATGAGCATTATGGAACCAGTGATAACACTCTGCTAGTATCCAAAAGAGGTCTTCACTGCTTTTCATTTTTTGTTAAAAACAAGGACTTAAGACAGATTGCATTTAGCCCATTTTGTTGGCTCAGAGATCTAGTTTCTTGGGCTTAAAGTTGTGGATATATTCAGTTTTGGTTTAGCCTTATTTGTGGATTTGCTTTGAGAAGCATCTATCCTCAAATTTGCTGTGACCACAATACCTAATTCAGGACAACTAGCAAGTAACAAAAAACATCTAGAAAATGCAAATGACCTGCAGGAGACAAAAACAAGCTGTAGTCTGTTGAATTATGGCAAATTTAATTAAGTTTTTCTCTGTAGACAGATATTGGCTATGAAACAAGATGACCCACATGCATATGATAAATAGATTACCCAGTTTCTTTGTCAGAGGGCCAGGGGGATGATGCTGCTCTCAGTTTTCTTTCTTTACCATATTCAGAGGTAGTTATGAAAGCGGGAACTGGGGAAGAAAACAGGCAGCAAGACACAGTTGAGTCATGTTTCAATTAGTGTAACAGTGGATACATGAATCAGGAACTTGTGGATGGTGATGCTGACAAACTTATTGAAAAAGTGATAAAGGATTGGCAACATTGGACCTCACAGCTAAGTTCTCTCTGTATAATGCACCTAGAAATGGCTGCCATCTAGTCCACAAGGACACAGGATGGGCTGGAATATTACAATGATCTCTGTTTCCTGTTTCGTAATGAACTTATGTTCCAACTTTGCAGAGAGATAACTTGAGAGTTAATGTTGGGCTTAAATCAAGAAACTGAAGAAATGTGTGCAGCTCAGTTGTCTATTAGCAGAAATTAATCAAAAGCAAGCAGCAACTTGACAGCAGAAAATAAGGATGGAGGTGTTCAGGTTGGATGGGGTCCTGGGCAAACATCCAGTGGGTGGTAACCCTGCCCACAGCAGTGGGCTTGGAACCAGATGATGTTTTAGATCCCTTCCAACCTAAGCCACTCTGTGATTAAGTTGCATTTTCAATCAAATAATCCAGATAAAAAGAGAATACCGTGTTCATGTCCACAGTCCTGCCCCTGGTAAGTCAGGTATTCCAAGCAGCCAGCCTTCTCCTCCAGAGCAGGACAAGGTTCCCCAGCATTTGTAGGTTCCTGCTGCACATAGCGCCTACGTATTCGCAGACTGGGTTTACATTGTTCAGCACAGCCACTCCAATGACTCCACTCCCCCACGATGCATGGATGAGCTGAAAAGCAGTAGTAAACACATAGCTAATAGTTAAGACTTCTGTTTGATCCTAATTGCTCTCCAAATCTAAAGTAATAAGACAAAGCCATGTTTGTTTGTTTTTTAACATGCAATTTTGATTTTGTTTATTCTCAAAATATTGCAGTGATGTGTGTATCACATTTGTGTGTTTGTGTATATACGGATGCAGACAATTAAACATAATAAAATATTTAGAAATGTAATCTCGGGTCCTTTCCTTCTGATTTCCAGTTAGAGAACAGTCCACTGAATATGTGAATTTTAGTCCTCGTGGATCACAGACTTTCTACAAATTTGACCCAAATGGGTTCCAAAATGCTATGAGGAAACTGCCATTATTTTGCAAGGGAACTCTGAATCATTAGAAACTACAATTCCCTCACGGTTTTGTATTCTGTGGTATTTTTCCGATGTCTGTTGAAACCGTTAGCTCACTTAGAGATTTTGACACCTTTTTTATTAGAAACCATGCAGGTCTATATATCACCAAATCACAGGGGCTGGAACGGACCTCTGCAGATCACTTTGTCTAAGTCCCTGCTAAAGCAGGTCCCGTGGAGTAGGTTGCAGAGGAAAGTGTGAGCAAACAACCTGCTGTTATATGAGCACTTGGTATAAGAAGCAAGCCTGACATAGAGATTGCCACCAATTTGTATCTATCCAAACCAGAACAGGCAAACACGTGTATCTCTAACTTTCAGAAAGTGTAGACAGTTGATGGAAGACGGATTATTGCAGATAGTAAAAATAGACCATTTTTACCTTTCCAAATATATCAGCTTTAGAAAGGGAAATCACTGAATAATGGACAGTGATGGAAGCCCAGGCTAATTCCCAAATACACTCAGTGACGTCCTGTGAGGTCACCGATGAAGGGGTTGTGACATCAGCACGATGTGACCTCGCTGTATAAATTCAGGTACTGTCAGACTTGTGTCCAGACTCCAGCTGAGCGCATCTGTGAGACTTGGAGCGGTGAAGGAGGCTTTGGTTGGGTTGTGCTCTTGGGCTGCTGGCAGTTCTTGGTGCCCATCCCACAGCATCACCAGTGTTACCCCAGCCCTGCCTGGTTCAGGCAGCCAGGTGCCCACAGGGTGCTCTTGCAGCAGCAGAGGTAAGCGCTGGGAGGACACAGCCCTGAGGTGGCCAGCGGGGAGTAAGGGCCATGGGAATTTGCTGCAGAGGAACAGGGGCCAGAGACAGAGTGACCACGGACTGCTCCCCTCTTCTTCAGTTTGTGATGCCTGCCGCCCACTGCAGCACAAGTGAGGGGGCAGCTTCCTGGCTTCAACTTTCCCCAGCCCACCACACGGCCTGGGGCCACGGAGGTGCCATCGGACTGGACCTGCCCCTTCTATGCGCACAGTCCCACAGATGCAGCCTACATGACCCCTATCTGAAGAAGCTTTGCTACGGCTCTGCGCTCTGGTGGGCAAAGAAGAAGCTGAGATGTGTCATGTGCAGGCACTAGTTAGGGGCCATCCAATATTCGGTGAGGTCAGACAGTGATTACGTGGAATGTCCTGTCCTGCAGCCTGCAACACACTCTATGTCATTGATAAAGATGTTTAAGTGCACCAGTCCTAACACAGAGCCCGGGGGTACACCACACATCAGCTTCCATCTGGACATAGAGCCACTTACCACAGCCCTCTGGCTGCAACCATCCAACCAATTATTTATCCACTGAACAGCCCTCTCTTCAAATCCATCTCTCTCCAATATAGTGACAAGGATGTGGTGTCAGACCATGTCAAAGACCTTGCAGAAATCCAAGCAGATAACATCAGCTGCCCTTCCATTGTCCATGATGCCATCACTTCATCACACAATGCCACCAGTCTGGTCACGCATGTAGCAACAGGATCAGGGGAAATGGCTTTATAGTGGAAGAAAGTAGATTCAGACTAGATATCAGGAAGAAATCTTTACTGTGAGGGTGGTGAGACACTGGTACAGGGTGTCCAGTGAGACTGTGGATGCCCTCTTCCTAGAGGCATTCAAGGTCAGGCTGGATGGGGCTTTGAGCAACCTGGTCTAGTGCGAGGTGTCCCTGCCTACAGCAGGGGCTGGAACTAGATGGTCTTAAAGGACCATTGCAGCCCAAACCATTCTATGATGCTGTGATCTCCTCAGACACAGAGGTGACATTGAAAGGTCTGTAGTCCCCGGGTCTTCTTTTCCTCCTTTCTTAAAAATGGGGGAGATGTTTCCTCTTTTCCAGTCACTGGGGACTTTACCTGACACCCAAGACTTTTCAAATACGACAGAGAATATGCCCAGGTGTTCAGAGACTCCGCACTAGCACCCTACTGACACCATGAAAAATGCAACACCGTGAATTACTGTCCAAGCTTTTGTGAATATCTATAGTGCATTAACAGCCCATCTATCTATAGCTCTCAAGCTGCTCCTCAGCCTCCTGATGGGCCTACTTATTCAGTTTCCATTTCTAAGGTGTAGATAAGGTGTAGATTTCTGCATTTGAGTGAAAACCATCAGGACCTGACATGATGGTGAAAACAAACAGCAGACAAATCTGTTGTCATTAAAAGAAGATATAAAGCACAGTGACTGATATTTTGTATCGTATCTTAAGAACTTTCTTTTTCTCTGCTAAATCACAAATGTATTTGTGAAAGCTGATAATCCACCCTACTGGCCCTCACTTCCCTTAAAGTAACACAATGATGTCATCAAATAATGTAAAGACTGAGCCGTGATTTCATGTTTGTTGCTTTTCACAGCCTTTTCAGCAGAGACAGAAATGTCAGACTAAGCATCTGCTGGTTTTGGTACTGTCTCAAAACTGAGAAACACTCAAGATCTACCATATTTGTTACCCTCTAGTCATTTCCTTATTTTATATTCTGTGGTGTGTCTACCAACAGTGGTGTAATCCTTGTAGCTCTCATTTACGTTAAGCATGATAAACCATCTACACTTCTCCCTTCTCTTGAATTTTCCATTTATATTCTGGCAAAACAGTACCCCTGTCTTAACCTAGCTAGTGTAAACACAGACAATGTGTCAGCTATCTTCCATGTAGATGCAGATATCTTCACTAGAATAAAATGTTTTGCAGTCTGATTGCCAGAAAAGAGGTGATGGGCGCGTTGTTCCTGAGAATGAAGCTCTGAGACAAGCAAATCTTCATTTGTCCATTAACCTCCCAGAACAAAACACAACAATCACGTCACATCTTCATGAGACTGAATTTCCCTTAACTTCACCTCCACGAACACCAAATTTTAAAAACTCTGTGGCTCAACAACTTCATTTTTAGTAGTCAAAGAGAATACTGTAGCTCTTCAAAATGGCTCTGAGCACTGATCCCCCAGGGATTGGATGAATGTAACACTAAAGGTGCTTACTGACAGAACAAGTACAGCTTCTCCAAGGAGAAACTCTATGTCCACATAGCCATGGCAGGCAGAGCAGTAGAAGTAAGAGAAATGGCTCAAGCATTGGTGTCCATCAAGAAGATCCTCTGAGGACAAGCAGTAGTTTCTCTACACGAAGAGCACTTACCCTGTGTCCTCCCAGGACATTTAACCTGAGCATCAGCCCACTGCCAGCAGCTTTTCCTGGGAGCTATGTGGAAAGGTGACCCAGGCTGAGCAGACGTATTCCTCTGGGCCATTTCCCTTCTTGTAAGCGCATCTGTGTGGTACCTGCACACCATGGTCCTGGGTGAGACAGGAAAGGCTGTGTCTCCTGCTTACCTCAGCCGTGAAGTACTGTGTACTGATTCATGCTGCTTCCCTCAGCATCATTAGCTGCTTTTTGTCCTCTGATAAGCTTATATTTTTTTCAATTTAATTATAATTAACGTCATGTAATTGAAACACTATCAGAAATAGTTTTATAAAAACCTGAACATGTCTGTCTTAATATTACAGTTTCTTATTGATTTGGAAATTCCCCAGTTCTTCAGTGTTTTCACTGCACTTTGCAAATAGACTTAAAATTATTTTTTGTGCAGTATGAATCACACTTTACTTTGCTTTCTCAGTCTTTGCCACTTAAAGGCAGGTCTTCAGCATGGTACCTTGGGAATAGCACAAAATATATTTTATAATCAGTGGTTGGGATATCTTACACTGGTTCTGAATTGTTTGGAATCTTGCCTCTCATTAACTACACCTAAATGAAGCTTCTGCCTTTTCCACTAACATGCAATGGGAATATACCACATGTTTTGGATCACATTTTTTCCTAAATTTCCTGATTACAACTTAAATCCCCACAGGAAGCTTTACAGCTTAACCATTAGTTATTTTCTTTTATCAGTGTTGCAGGAAACCGATGGGACCAACACAGTCATTCAGAAAAACACTGCATGCCCTCTGGGATGCTGCCAGTATGAGACACTGGGAAGAAGCAATTAAGCGCAATAACCTCTGGTGTTTGTGACTGGTTTTGTATGACAGAAATCTCTGGGTTTCCTCTCTCACTAATTCTCTAATTTCTCAGAGCACTACAGATATCATAAAGCAGGTAAAACCCCTGACAGAGGCTACCTGGCAGACGTCCACACCACACTATTAGAGTTCCCCCGCACTCCTCTCTCATTTTGCACCAGACCAACCTGCCCACTTTATGGGTGACTCGACAGCCACAGGCAGGCAAGTGGCCAGGGATGCTGCATCTCACCTTTAATGGGCTTGATACTGCTAACTGAAAGAGAACCAAAGAGCATCCCTGGGGACTCAACCACTGGTTGTCCACCCAGATTAATCATTGGCATCCCCTGGCATTTGCTGCTACTTAGTGATAAACACTTTCCCCACCATCCGGGGTATGATTAGTAGAACAATGAAGGAAGCTCGGATGGGAAAAACTGCATCAGACATTGATTCAGCAGGCACTGCGCTCCAGCACCTCTAGAGCCCTCAGGTTGTACCCCAAAGCACATCACAGACACAATGTGTCTTTTTATTTAACTGTACAAGCACTGATGTTGATGCCTCCCACAGCTTAACACCACCAAGAGTGCAGGATATAACCATCATCTACCGTGGCTCCCTTATCTGCTGACTCTGTTCCAAGCTAGCTATTAATGACCTGCAGAAGTAAGAATTTCCATGTAATTTTAATCCACATTAGCACCCTCACATGCAGATAACATCATGGCTGCATCACATTTTCCACACAGAAAACTCCCAAAGAGATTTAGCAGCTGCATAACAAATAAAGGGATGACTTTATGTCTTCCTGGAATTAAACCAAGCTGACAGTGAAATACTGGTCATCTGTAGCAATATATGGCAATTTTATGATCATAAAGATTTAGAACAAGAAGTCTGAATTGCCTCAGTCATGTGAAATAATATGAAAACTGAGTTGCTAGAATGGAATTCAGCCAGAGGGATAATAATCATGTCACTTGCAGTCAATACCCAGAGATCATTAAGGGATAGTATATCAATTTTGTGCCTCAATGGAAAGATGTCAAGTTCTCCAGCACAACAGAGAAATTGGTCCCAGAGCTGACATATAAGGAATGGTGCCATCTCTTGAAATAAAATAAAATAAAATAAAATAAGTAAAATAAAATCAAATAAATTATCAGAGACCCAGATCTACATCTTCATGGTCTCTGTTTATGCTTTCACTGGCCCAGTTTAGTCAACCCAACACTGACAGATGATCACTCACTGAAAGAATGAGGACTAATCTGGAAGAGAAGGATGCAAGGTAAAGTAACATGAAGGATGGGATGTGCTCAGGTACCTACCAAAATGTGCATGCTAATGAAGCATGTGGGGCTTCAAAGATACCCAGAAAAAATTGCTTTGCTGTCCTATGAAATATAACTTGAGTGCTCAGGACTTTTTAATATATGTATATATTAAGGACTGCAAATCATACATTTTTTTTCTGAGTTGCACTCTATTTAATTTCCTCTCATCTCTGGAACAAAAGGGATTACAGTATCTTCACTGAGTCACTGCAAAACATTCATCATAGCATATACGGGTCTGTGGATTTTCTTAAAATAATCATTTCCATACAAGTGACATGGTCGTTCTTTTTTCAAGCTTTCTCATTGGACAGTATTTACAAAAAGTCTTTGTTCACTGCTAGAACTGTAAGGAAATTTTTTTTAAAAGTGTAAGGAAATTTACTTTAAAACTGTTGGACATAGGTTTGGCAGCCCCAGACTCCTGCTGAGCCATTCTATTTACGAAGTACCAGGCATAGAATGACTTCTAGGCATGAGAAAATTCAACCGTAGTGTTGGCAGAACTCCCTGCCTTCCATTGGTTTCTAATGTTTTGGAGTATTGCTTTTGCACAATTCCTTGATCAAATATATTTAATGATGCAGGTATTTTACACTTTCCCCAAATACAGTGTCCTGTAAAGTATTTGCAAACTGATGAAATGTCATTTCTGTTGAAGTCATAAGTAGAGAACAGGATGACAAAAAAATTGTAGCACAAGAACAGCTGGCCACCTTTCTCCACGTTTCTGTTTGAACTTGTTTTATCTCTGCATTCAGAACAGCATTTCAGAGTGAACTAAGCCACAGGCACCCTTGGTTTCCATCAACTGAACTAAGAAAAGCATCATGGTGAATCTTCAAAATCCAACAGGAACAAAAACTACTTTAAACATGTAGTCCATCCTCGTTTACACTGAAGAGTCCCACTTCATTAGAATTTTTGTTCACACCAGACATATTGCTGCTTGCAATAAAAAGTATCTCTCCATTTACCTTCGAAATAACTGTTTCCAGTGATCCATTTTGCAGTTTAGGGATGCACAAGCTATAGGACTGCCTGGCTGGGCTGCCAAAATGCTATCCTCCCATACCACACTCACAAATGTCCTGCTGCCCATGGCTGCACTAATACTGGTGCTTGTGGAGCCAGGCAGCAAGGGATTTACACCAGTCAGAAAAAGACACAGCAACAAACAGCATCAGCTTCCGAAGCTGGCCCACCAGTGGCCTCCACTCTGGTGCAGGCAGACAGACAGGCAGAGACAGACAGACAGACTCTGCGAGGCCCTCTGAAGTCTCACTAAGACTCTGCCTTCCCGCCTAGATCCAAAGTACCCAAAGTCCCCATGGGGCATGGATCACAGTGCGAGGCCACCACCACTGGGCTCAAGACAAAAAATACCACATTGCTAATAACAAGGTACCTGATCAGAATTGCGGAAGGAAAACTGTCCGACCAGAACCTTTCGCACACATCTCCTTCAGAGCTCTGGTGTCAGCTCTTCTGCTCAGGCAGCCGTGCCCGCTCCTCATGCCAGGCAGCCACAGGCCGGCTCAGGTCCCGCAGCGCAGCCGCCATGGCGCCGAGCCCGCTGATACGCCCCAACTGGCAGCACCGCGCTGCCCAGGCGATGGCCTGACGGATGCAGGCTGGCACACCTCCAGCCAGCTCGGAAGGGCCGCCGTGCTGCATGAGGCCTCGTTCTGTGCCAGAACATGAGGGCAGCGTCCTGCTTGGCGGCGGAGCAGAAGCAGACCATCTCCGCTCGTGGGCAGCACTGCCCAGGCAGCCCAGCCTGCCCTCGCCAGCTCCTGCCCCCACAAACGGGGCCTCTCTCTGGGGTTCCCCAAGATGTTTGCTGTTTGTTTGGCTGCACGTGAGGAATCAGCTCAGCAACCCGGCAGTCCTGTGCCCCCACTCTAATGGCTGTGCACTGGGGATGAGCGTGAGCAAGAAGCGCTGCGTTTCGGAGGGAAAAACAACGTCTGACAGCAGAGCTCAGGCAGAGCTGACCCACAAACCTGACCAGTACGCAGCGTGGGCAGCCCTGCAACAAGTCTTCAGTGGCTCCTCATCGAGCACCTGCTTGCTCCTGGCCGTGCCCTCGCCCCTGGGCTGCTGACAGCAGGAACCGACGTGTCCCTTACGGCCCGAAGAGGCTGCCTCACACCCAGGAGAGCTCCCAGCCAGCGGAGCCTCAGCGGCAACGAGCAGCCCACTCACGGCCACTCTCGGGGTGATCCCACCCGGGGCACGGGTTCGGGGCCGGCCCGCGGCACTTACCCGGGCACGCTTGGCTGTGGTCGTGGCAGCAGTCCCGGGTGCGCCGGCATCCTCCGTCGCAGTAGCAGCTCCCGTAGCCCCCGTCCTCCCGCCAGCCGCTGCTGACACACGCGGCGTCCCGGCCCTGGCAGCACCGCTCCGAGCAGCTCCCGTCGGCCCCGGCCCATAGCCGCCACAGCAGCCCCAGGCACAGCGCTCCGCTCAGCGCCGCGCCGCCCATAGCCCCGACGGCCTCCACCGAGACCCGGCGGCGCGGGGCGGGCTGGGCAGGCGGGCGGGCGGGCGGCGGGGCGGGGGGGTGGCGGCCGGGGAGGCTCTGCCCGGCCCTTCCCTGCCCGGCTCTCCCTGCCCCGGCAGCCGCGGGCTCTGTTCAAAGTGGAGGCATGTGAGAGGTGTGGGGCTGGAGCGCGTGTTGCTGGAGGTAACCCTCCAGCGCGATCGTGACCTGCACAGCGATGTGCCGCACTGAGTCGTCCTGAATAGCCATGACCCTGCATGCAGTAATCATCGTCACAGAATCATAGAATGGCTTGAAAGGGACCTTAAAGTCCACCGCCCGGTTCCAACCCCCTGCCATGGGCTGGTTGCCATCCACCGGCTCAGGTTGCCCGGGACCCCATTCACCTGGCCCTAAACGCCTCCAGGGATAGGGCATTTACACCTCCTCAAGGCAGTCTGTGCTAGGGCCTCATCAATCCCTGAGTGAGGAGTTTCTTCTAAAGCCACTTTCTTTCACTGTAAAGCCATTATTCCTTAGGCTATCACTACACTTGCTGATAAAAGAGTCCTTCCCCATCTTTCCTGTGGACTCCTTTGAAGTACTGAAAAGCCCCAAGGAGGTCTCCCTAGAGCTTTCTCTCCAGGCTGAACAAGCCCAGCACCCACAGACTATATTCATAGGAAAGGTGCTGAAGCCCTCTGATCATCCTCAAGACCCTCCTACAAACCCACTCCAACAGCTCCACATCTTTCTCATGCCAGGGGCCACAGGTCTGGAGACAGTACTTCAGATGGGGCCTCACAGGGGCAGAGTAAAGGGGAATAATCACCTCCCTTACCCTGCTGGCTACCCCTCTTTTGATGCAGCTCAGGATACTGCTGGCCTTCCAGGCTGCAAGTACACTCTGCTGGCTCACGTCAAGCTTTTCATCTATCAGGATCCCCAAGTCCTTCTCTATCTCTAGGCTCCTCTCTATCCCCTCCTCACCCAGACTGGATACATGTTTGAGATCACCCAGACCTGGGTGCAGCACCTTACACTTCACCTTGCTGAACTGCATGTTGTTCCCTGTGGGTGGTATCCCTTCCCTCCAGCATGTCAGTATCACAGAACTGTGGAATAGCTGAAGTTGGAAGGGATCTCTAGAGGTCAGATGATCAAGCCCATTGCTCAAACAGTGTCACTTAGAGTAGGTTGCCCAGAAAATTATGTCATGTTCACCTTTCTCTTGGAAAGAGTCCAGCGGAGGGCCACGAAGATGGTGAAGGGCCTGGAGCATCTCTCCTATGAGGAAAGGCTGAGTGATCTGGGTCTGTTCAGCCTTGAGAAAAGGAGACTGAGAGGGGACCTGATCCAAGTCTATAAATATCTAAGGTGTGGGGGGCAGAATGGCGAGGCCAGACTGTTTTCAGTGGTGAGTGGAGACAGGACAAGGGGAAACGGCTGGAAACTGCAGCATAGGAAGTTCTGCACAAATATGCGCAAGAACTTCTTTACAGTGAGGTGACGGAGCACTGGAACAGGCTGCCCAGGGAGGTGGTGGAGTCTCCTTCTCTGGAGATGTTCAAGACCTGCCTGGATGCCTACCTGTATGACCTGCTATAGGGAACCTGCTTTGGCAGGGGGGTTGGACTCGATGATCTCTGGAGGTCCCTTCCAACCCCTACGATTCTGTGATTCTGTGATGTCCCTCAGATCCACATGTGGGTGATGACACCCACACTGCGCACAGCAGTGACCCTCATAACAATGTCCCTCATAGCTGTGTTCTATACACTGCACACACAGTGATGACCTTTGCAGTGGTGTCCCCAGCTGGACTGATAAATGCTGCAATGTCCCACACAGCTGTAGCCCACTTTGTCCCACTCACATAGAATCATAGAATCACAAGGTTGGAAATGACCTACAAGATCATCTTAGTCCAACCTTCTCCTCATCACCATTGCCAACACTAGCACATATCCCACCATGTCCCATACAGCAGTGACACGGACCACAGGGACCTACAGTAGCAACCCACAGTGCTCTCCACAGCAGTGTGCTGCACAACGTCTTTCACAGCAATGTCCCACATTGTACTTACTCCCACAGCTACGTCCCTCACAGCAGTGCCTACACCCTGATGACTCACAGCAGCATCCCACATAGTGATGTCCCACACAGTGACATCCCACACAGCTATGTCCCACACAGCAGTATTCTGCACAGTAGTGACTCATGCAGTCGTGACCTGCACAGCTGCCCCTGAGCATCCTGTCCACTTCCACACAGCCAGGATGACCTGAGGGCACCGGACATGCTTTATTGGTACAGGCACTTCTCATTTCAGGGCACATCCCACACAGCCAGGAGCATTTGATTCTGATATGTTTTCCTTTTTCAGACACCAGAACAAAGCAAGCTGTATTTGCAGGTGCACAAGGAAAGGGAGATAGATCCCAAATAACTTCCTGAAACATGAAGATTTGGGTTCTGGTTTTCAGTTATCTCCAGCCCTGAGAGGTCTCTAGGATTAATGGGACCTGATCTTTTTAGCCAAAAATCAAATCCCAAAAGCAAGTGGAGATGTGAGTGTGAAATTATGTTAGCTTTGCACACTTCCATTTGCAGGTATTTAGCTACTAAGGCTAGAGACATCTGGTCTCCCAAAGCTGCACAGAGGCAGGAGGTAACAGTCTGTTATATTATCTGCTACATGTGGGTACTTGGACCCCCCGAGACAGCTCAGGCCAGCCAGAGTTTAATTTCTTCTAGCAGTCACAACACCAATGTTAAAGTGTTATTTAAAGCCCAGAGGGCTGGGTCTGTGCTGCTCTCCAGTGTGCCACTAATGAAGTCACTGGACTTCTGCCAGCCTAAAAGTTGACCCTATGAACAGAGTTAAGTTGGGGGAGTTCCTGTGGTGGGTGAGAGGAGAACAAGATGTGCAGCCTGCCGTCCTTAAAGGCGGTGTATGAGCAGGAAGGCCTCACTGTGTTTTCTTTTCTGTTATGGGATTCCTGTGGTTCACCTAAAAGGCAAATATTAGCAAATTTATGTAGAAACTGCCTCTATAAGCAGATTAATTGTGTGCAGAAGACTTACACTAAAGAGATAATTCAGTAAAATTTGGATGAGTTGGGAACAGAGTAAAGAGCAACTTTATCTTAGAGGATATGTTTATAGAAGAAAAAAAAATCCACCAAAATTCTGCTTGTGCAATGGTCTATTGCAAGAAGAAAGGAATGAAACTGTTAAAATTTCTACTAGGTGCAGTAAAGCATTGCACCTAGAAAGAGGAATCTTAATTATGGCAGAGAAAAATACTCACTTTACTGTAGCAAATACCTTGCTTTTTCCCTGTCCCAGTTCCCTGCTATTAGGGGCAGTGCTGGGCAGCTTCTGAGTGAAAACAACAATGTGTTCTGGGGCACTGAAGCAGTACTGAAACCCCTACTTGTAATTCCAGCAAAACAGGCAGAGATTTCTTTCTCTTGACATGAGGGGGTCCACAGAAAGGAGGTGTTCCTCATACCCTGCCACTGGTTATCTTTTTGCCATGGAGACATCTTTAATTATAAGGAAAAGCAGTTTTGGAAAGGCAGACATAAACAGGATGTGTAGGCAAGCCTAGGGAATGAGCAGAGCCTTTGCTCTGTCCTCATTGTAAGCCATGGAGGAGCGCTGTTCTGCACATGCTCTTGGTGCCAAAATAATTTGCCTTGCTCCCAGAGGTGAGGAGGAATCTCAGAATTGAGCTGTAGCTCTCTCAAAACAAGACGTTGCTGCTAGCTATGCTGCTACCCTCTCAAGCTCAAGTTGCCAGCCATTTTTGTATTTTTTTATAATTTCTGTCCTATTTTAGTTTTTGCTCTTCAAAAGGGAAGTTCCAAAACTACGACATAACTGCAGAACTATGTGGTAAGAGGGCAGAAAAAAACAAGACTGTGAAACAGCTTTTCAAGTAGTTTCTCTAATATGTAAATGGTTCCAATGAACCTCATTCCATTGTTTTTGTACTTCCAAGCAAATTGTTCCCACTGCCTTACATGGAGTTCTCCTTAGTTTTTAATACCACAGGGACAAAACTGAGCCAAATGAGTCCCAACAGTAAATTAGGAAGAGAACTAGTCTCAATTATTTACCATACTTACCAACTCTCCTCTTTACCATGGTACTTGTACTCTGAAAGAAGAAATGTGAAGCAGAGCCACACTCTGTTTATTCCCATTGAGCACCTCTACCTGTAACATCAGAGAGAAGACTGACAGCACCTGCATCTGGGAAAGGCTTGAGTCTGAGAACAGAATTATGTTTGATAATAAAATAACTTTCTTTTATTTTTCAGGTTTAGCTTACCGCCACCGTGCCTTTGAAGGCCCGATATAGGGACTATTCAGTGTAACTTCAAAGTCCTTTTCAGATATATTATCTGTCAGCCCATAGCATTCCTCATGCCCACACCTCCTCACGAGCAAACTCTCTGGAAAGTCCTGACTTGCACAAATGGAGCTCATTTTTGTTTGCTGCTAAGAGGTTAATCTGAAGGCAACTAAATGTGAAGACTTCAAAGATCTTGCAGGGCATTTCTTTTTCTTTTAGACTTGTGTTTGCACACAGTTCTTTCTTTATTTTATAGAAATGCCCTTCTGAAAGCAACCTGCTTCGATTTTAAATCGGGACTACGCAATGAATGATGTGACCACAAAGGCTGTGGGCTGTCTCTGTTCTGCAGAGATATGGTGCTTGGGAACACCAGTCAGCCACATACTGGCTTTAGAGGCCTTTGTTCCCATTGTTCTGGAAAAGCAGACTTTCTCCTGATAAGAATTAATCCCCACTCAGGTGAATAGCCAAAGCATGGTATTGCTGACATTGCTTAAAGCAACAGCACCATTTCATAGGTAAGAAAAATGAGGAGCAATTTGTCTTTGCTAACATCTAGTCACTGTAGGAACACTGCAGGTGACATAAAAGAAAGCTTTTATGGTTTCATAGTCCATACTGTTAGATATTCAGTGACTAGCTTGAGCTGTTGTACACTGAACTGCTGTAAGAGTGCAGGCTAAGTACCTGGGGAAAAGTCATCTGCTGTAGAAACAGCCTTTACCTTGCATCCGCTTTGCCCTGGAAGCCCTGACAGATGAAGTCCTGCCACGGGAGCCACATTTACATGCTACATCTCAATTACAACCATTGATTTTGGCTGGGGCTGGTAATGATGCATGAAATTGCTTGAGTTCTGGACATTAGTGGGAACAGAGCAGAGCTATCTGTCACGATAATTTTAGCTGCTTTCTAAAGGCCTTCACCCTCCTTGAAAGTTACTGAAGAAACTTCGAAGTATTGGGATCAACACAGGAGTACTGCTGAGCAGAAAAATGTCAGGCAAATCTGTACGCTCAGCCTGAGCGGGGTTGAAAATTATTCCTGCTGCAGCTTCTTTGGGAGTT